AGCCTGAGCCTATACAAGAGGAGTATGTCCCCAGGACTTCTCAGTGGAACAGTTAAAAGGATTCAATAAAGAAAGCTGCTATTTCAGCTGGACAGTGGTGGCACACGCCTGCAAACCCAGCACTTGGGAGGCAGAGGCAGGCCTGTGAGTTCAAGGCCAGCATGGTCTACAGAGTAAGTTCCAGGACAGTCAGGGCTACACAGAGAAACCCTGTCTTGAAAAAAATACAAAAGAAAGAAAGAAGGAAGGAAGGAAGGAAGGAAGGGGAGGGGAGGGGAGGGGAGGGGAAGGGAAGGGAAGGGAAGGGAAGGGAAGGGAAGGGAAGGAGAAGGGAGGGAGGGAAGGAGAAGGGAGGGAGGGAGGGAGGGAAAGAGAGAGGGGGGAGGGAGGAAGGGAGGGGAGAGTTTACTCAGTAAACTGTTTCCCTGATAACACCTCCTGACTGGCCAGCTCTGCCCAGGTGTTGGTCTCCCTGCCCACTCCTGGAGGCCAGGAAGCTGAAACCCTGTGCTCTGATTAATGCTAAGGATTAAGAAGTGAAGCGAATCCTTCCCGCCTTCCACTGCTGTAGTACTCCAGGCCAGAAGAAAGTTCCGATCCTTCTACACCCGCTTAGAAATTTCTGTTGTTTTTGTTTTAATTTCTCTCTCTCTTACCACCCCCACTTCAGTCCTGGAGAACCCAGGGCATAGGAGGCAAATGCTCTACCACTGAACCACACCCCAGGACTTCCCTCCTTAGTTAAGCCAGGATTTTAATAAGTTAATTTAACAAGGGAAAAATCAATGCCAGCCCAGGATGCATATCCTTGGCAGGTCACAGCCTTTGGGGTTGAGACAGGGAGCTCAGTGGCCAGCCAGGTCTGGTATTTGGGTGCAGAAGGAACAGTCACACGTGGAAGTGAAGCACCCAAGGAAGATGTGCTGAGCACAGCAGCCCTCCGCGCCAGGCAGTCTGCGGCTCCCGCAGGGGGATGCCCAGTGGTTCTGCATCATCCACAGTCCAGCCTCCAGCGTGGAAATGCATTAGCTGGCGTCCTGTGCTGTGGCAGAGCACCTGAAACTAATCAGCTTCAAAGAGGGCCAGCTCGTGTTGGCTCACAGTTTCAAAGATTGCCAACCGAGGCTGCCCAGCCCTGCTTTTTTAGATCGCTGGTGACACGGAACTTCATGGCAGAAGCTCCTGGCAGAGGAGACAGAGAGAAGAAACCCTAGGGTTCGTTGAAGCTGCCTGCCCCCATGACCTAACTTCCTCCTGTCAGGCCCTACATCTTAAATGAAGGTTCCACCACCTGCTGTCAATACACAGGTTGGGACCAGCCTTTGACCAATGGGCCTTGGTGGGAGGGCACAAGTTTCCCTATATGTAAAAGAGGGGGAGGATATCAGAGAGTGAGATGGAGAGAGAGAGAGAGAGAAGAAGAAGAAGAAGAAGAAGAAGAAGAAGAAGAAGAAGAAGAAGAAGAAGAAGAAGAAGAAGAAGAAGAAGAAGAAGAAGAAGAAGAAGAAGCAGCAGCTAAATAACCGAGGAAATCTGCGCTGTTGACTTTAGAAGCTAGAAAAAGCAGAGAAATGCATCTCTCTCCTCCCCAGGAACCTGCCCAAAGCCACAACTGTGCCAACTCTTTGGGAATTCCTGTCATGTTTGTCTTAAGCCATCGAGTTTCTGGTGACATACAATATGGAACCAATGAAGACTCTGGGACAGAAGCCCAGGCAGGCCTCACGGTATCCGGTATCCGCTGTTGGGGAAAAGCTTTTCTCATCTGGGAGCTCCCCAGCTGACTCCCTGCCTTGCTCGGCATTCCAGATGGGGGCAAGGCTTTCAGGGTTCCAGAAGCCCTGTGGAATGCACTGCCTTTGCTAGGAAGGCCTCGGGGGCAAACTGAAGCAGCAAGTCTTTTTACTTGTGGCTTGGATTACAGCCCCTCGGGAGTGTGGCAACCCACTCTGCCTCTGGAAACACTGAGGGGCAGATTCACAAGAGGTTCATGTAGTTTCACCTTCATTACAATGGCTTTAAACTACTATATGGGCAGTGGGCAGCTAAGGCCATAGCCTAGGGACGTTCTGCCCCCCACCCCCATTCTCTGCCTCTAAAGGTAGTTCTAACTAAACCTCTATTGTTCTAATAAGACTCGAAATTCAGAGAGCTCAGAGAGTTACAGCAACACCGACTAATTTTCTCTCTTCGCTAACTCATGTCCCCTGTAACAACTCCCTCCCACATCGCCCCAACTAAAAAAAACAAAACAAAACAAAAAAACGCTAAGCTCCTCCCTGCTACTTTCAACCAGTTGCCAAGCCCGCCTCTCTGAGGCCAGGTTAATTTTATTTAACACAAATGCAACACATCTTTAGACGGGTAACAAATGCAGCATGAACAAATGTAACACGTCTGTGCCTGGCTAAACAAATATTCCACGATCAGATTAGTGCACCCTTCCAAACAGTAACAGTCACGTCAAAGTATTGCAGGGAAAGACTCAAACACATTTTCAGTTTCTTGACACTTCTTACCACTACCATAGAGCATGCAGTTGGGTTTCCCCATTTGCAGCACATCTTCAGTGCACCGGATACGGCTTGCCCCGGAAAGTCACCTTCATGGTCATGGTACCTCCATGTTAGTACCAAATATATTCTTGAAACAGAGGGAATCACAATGGTCATGGTATGGAAAATATTAGAAAGGGTATTTGAATGGTTCTTTGCTAAGAGAGTTGGGATAATCGTTTTTAGCCAACAGAACAGATAAGGTAAAATTCTTGGGGTTTTATGGGGTTGACGAAGAATTGTTGAAAAGGCCTGGAGAGACGGCTCAGACTTTAAGGGCACTGATGCTCTTGCAAGTATCCAGGTTCCATGTCCAGCACCCACTTTGGCAGCTCACAGCCATGAATCTGATGACCTCTTCTGAACTATAGGCATCACCAGGCACACACATAGTTCACAGACATACATGCAGGTAAAACATACATAAAATAAAATAATTTTTGAAAAAGAAAATGTTGAAGAATCAGACATCTATGGGATATGTCTAGTGGCGACCAGAAGTGACTTTGTGTGTTTTGAGGCCAGTGGAGATTTGCAGTGTGAAGTCCCATGGAGGATGACGTTGACAGAACTGGACGAAAGGACTGTGTGCTCTGTGTGTGTGTGTGTGTGTGTGTGTGTGTGTGTGTGTGTGTGTTGGGAATCTGGATTTTCTTGAGGGACAGTGCATTCATAAGACTGAAAACTCCCCAGTTTGAAAGAAAGCACTGCTTTCCACCAAGGTTTGTGGGAGGCCCAGAGGAGCCATCTCACAGTTCAGGACTGAGAGAAGGGGACCACTTGTCACCAGGCGGGGGCGGGGGTTGGGCATACCTCCAGGTCTGTTGATAACACCTGCAGTCATTCTCACACGTCAGTCTGACACCTCCCCTGTCCTCCCTGTGACTGACAGCAACTGCCACTGCCCTGAGCCAGCCCCGAGTCTGTCTGGAACAGCTTTAATGTGCTCAACTGCCAAGCTCTTCCCGGAATCTTCCAGAATCTCAGAGAGTAACTTTAATATTACACACACACACATGCACACGCACACGCAGAGGATATGATCTTAATCTTTCTAGAAAACAGATCAATCTGAGGTTCTCCGAACTAACAAAACCCAAGAGATTTCGTGACACACGTCCTGCCCTGGGAGTCCAAGCAAACCACAGCTCACATCTTCCCTTCCAGCTCCCACTGGGAGCTTCCAATAAGAAGACTGCCCAGGTCTGGGGACCGGGGGAAATCTGGTCTTTCCTGCAATTTCATCTGGATTTGAACGTCCTACCACAAGCTCACATTCTGCATCTTAGCCACCAGCTAGTGTGCTAAATCAGGAGGCTGTGGAACCTTTAGGAGATGGGGCCAGGCTGGCAGAAGCAGCTTACTGGGGGTGGGTGTTTGAAGACTTCCCCTGTCCCCGGTTCCTTCCTTGTTCTTAGGTCTCCTGTACTGTGAGCAGCCTCCACCACGCACTCCTGCAGTCATGCTGTCCCTGCTGTGATGGACCGAAAGGTTCTGAAACCGGGAGCCGAAATAAGTCCTTCTGTAAGGAAGTTCAGACTGCAAAAGTGCCAATGTGTGTCAGTGCTTCTGAGCCTGATCCTGAGTGCCCAGCAACAAACCAAACCTTCACTCAGCAATCATCAGGGTCCCGCTTTGGGTTCAACTCAAACATAAGGCTCAGTTTATGTTCACAGAGGCCACGCAACTGCAAACACACACAGAAGTCAGTGGGCCTGTTATGGAGGTATCACCCCACAGAGAGAAGCAATGTAGTCTCAAGCAATAAGAGATGGTAGTGAGGGTGGGCCCCAAAATTCTCTGGGAGCAGAGATGAGCCCAGATGAGAGATTGAACTCTGAATTTAGGCATGGGAACAGGGGGGCAGGGGAAGACAGGAAGAGGAGCCACAGCAGCAGAAGCAGAGAAGCAGGCACAGGTGGCCTTCAAGAAATACAGTTGCAGGAACTCGTAGAGCAAGGAGCAGAGGGAGAATGGGCCTCAGAACAAGGCTGGCTACGGGAGAGTGAACTGGGTCTCGGAACAGGGCTGGCTACGGGAGAAAGAACGGCAGCAGCAGAAGTTAGACATGAGCTGCAGTAGGCTTTGAAATCAGGTTAAGAGTAAGAGAGCCAACTCCATCACTTATCTGTCATGTGATCTGCGGCAAGTTCAGCCAGCCAGGCTTTGGTCAGAGGAGCCGAGCCATTTATGCATGTGTGTATGTGCACATGTGTGTACACAAGTAGGATATTATAAAGATTTGATCTGATACCATTATAGGAGTTGAGCACAGTCTATGTGCCCTTGTCTTTCCTATGTCTGAGGAAGAAGTGCTTACACAGGAAATTGGGAGTGAGCAGGAAGTAATGGAAGCAGGGACAAGCTAACACCTAAGACTATCTAGAATCCAGTCCCCAAGTGTCTCTCCACTGTCAGGCCTCCAACTTGAATATTCCTGCAGAGATGAAGCAGCTGTGGTGGAATATCCGGCAGGGGCTCGTTCCTGCCATCCAGGATGCCAACAGGTAAGCCATGCTCTGTGAGCTGTGACTCGGTTCCACTCAACCCAACCTCCCAAGAGTGAGGACTATGGCTGCGCACTCCCTGCTGTGAGCCCTGCGTAGAACACTTGTTCCCCCATTCTGACTCAGGCCGGGAGAGGAACTCTAGGAGATGGGGTCACAGGTCACAAAGAAGGCACGATACAGATCCACGCCTGGGAACAGTACTTAGCTCTGATGGCTTCCAAATCTGTGCAACGGAGTCGGAACCTGGCGCACTGAGGGACCCAACAGTAGGAAATCTTTGGGAAAGGTGGGGCAGATTCAGGTCTTAGAACCAAAGTTCATATAATATATGTGATCTCTCTTCATATAAAATAATATACAATAAAGAATATAAACTTAGGCACGATGGTAAATATTAATTTAGAATGGGAAAATAAACAACAGATTACCATTTAAAGGCTACACTAGCATTGAGGCTGCCAAGTACACTAGCTTCACAAAACCTAGAAAACATAAGGAAATGTTGTGACCGCCCACTATGCTCACTAAGTCCCTTTGCCTGCTCTTACGTCGTTACTCTTGCCGCTGTGCCGACCTTGCACAGGATCATTTAGAGACAGGAAGGTGCTTGAGTCCCTTCTGAGGCGTGACTTACCAAAATTCACTTCTTAAATTATAAGTTAAAAAAGTCACTTTTAATGTCACAGTTAGTTGAGATGTGTGTAAGTGTGACATAAAATGCCAAAGGCTGATCTCTATGTATGTGAACACGTTCACATGTATGTGTATTTATATGCAGTAAACTTTGTCTTTCCTCTGGCATGATTAGCTAGAATTTACTTTTAAAAGATATTTATTTCACAGTATGTGTGTCTGTGTGTATGTGCAACATGAGTGCAGGGCCCAGAGTCCAAAAGAGGTGCTGGATCCCCTGGGGCTGGGGTTGCGGGAGACAGGGCTGCTGCCCTGGTGCGGAGAACTGACCTTGGGTCCTCTGCAAGAGCAGCCAGTGCTCTTCCTGCTGAGCCAAATCTCTAGCCCTAAAATTGGCTTTTTGTTATTGTTGACTTAGAAAGTTTCTTTTTCAATTTCACAGCTACAGCTACTCTTGATCCACATCTACATATTAAGCACCATGGCCTTTCTCAAGACTCGGTGACCTCAACACTTCCCTACATGGCAAGGGCGTCAGAAAGAAACTCGAAGAGGAAAGACCCAGAGCTCTTACCAAAGTGGCTCAAATCTCCTTCTGACTTTGCAGATTTCACAAGAGCACATGACCAGGGGCTAGAGAGATGGCTCAGGAGTTAAGAGTGCTGGCTACTCTTGCAGAGGGCTATTGAAGGAAGGCCACTAGTTAGTTCCTGGCCTCATAGCCCCGAAATAATCACACAGAAACTATATTATTTAAAACACTGCTTGGCCCATTAGCTCTAGCTTCCTATTGGCTAACTCTTATATCTTAATTTAACCCATCTCCATTAATCTGTGTATCATCATGTGGCTATGGCTTACCGGGTAACGTTCCATCTGGCTCCAGCGGGGCTACATGGCTTCTCTCTGACTTTGCCTTCCTTCTACCTTGCTATAGGCCAAGCCAGTTTCTTTATTCATTAACCAATAAAAGCAACACATAGACAGAAGGACTTCCCACACCAGAGGACGGGGGTTCAAGTCCCAGCACCCACATGGCAGCTCACACCATCTATAAACTTCAGTTCCAGGGGATGTAATATCTCTTTTGATCTCACAGGCTCTTGCACACATGTGATACACACAGACACACACACAGACACACACACACACACACACACACAGGCACATACACATAAAATAAACATTTTAAGATTATGTGACTGTGCGCACACAGTGCCAGGAATAGCTCTTCCTCTCACAGTCTTGGAAGATGCAAATAAACTGCCCTGTGGTTTAATCTTTTACTGTGACCACAGTAAACTTGCCTTCAAAGGGGAGAAGGAGCTGGGAACAAAGAGAATACCCAGGACAGAGGCACCTGACTCAGTGCTATACAGGTGCACAGAAGGATAGACAGAGCCAAGAGTGCCATGCGCCTTTCAGAGGAAATGCCAGTAAAACCGGGTTTCTGTTATGGTCAGCTGCCAGATCTCAGTAGAAGTTTGGAGCCGGCTATCAGGAACATCAGGACTCCTCTCTGCAGGAAAGGCAGGAGAATGCAAGCCAGCACTGAGTTGGCTTTGCCCTGACAAAGTCGCCTTGGGGCAAGGAAAGAATCACTTGCATTTGGGGTGCTGTATGCTTGAGGCACAGGGTGCCAATCTGAGGAACACCTCTTTGTACTGTGCTTGTGACTTCTGCAGGGAAAACAAATCCCCTTAGTTTCTGCAGAGAAGAGCTCAGGAGGGAGATTCCAGAAGGGGTGGGGCGGGGCGGGGTGGCAGCTTTCCCAAGATTTCCCGTCTAAAAGGCTCAGTGGTCACAAGCCCCTTATGGCCTCAGCTAAGACACACATGCCCTTTTCCTTAACTTGACACCCTGCATCAAAAAATAAAACATGATTAATGAGGGGAGGGGATAGGAGAGAGAAAACCACTTCTCATTCCTAATCCACAGCCTCTGGGTTAGACTTTCTCTCCTTTGCCATTTTCAACACATCATGTTGAAAAGATCCCGACAAACCCTGCTGTTCTCACTTGGCCTGTAAGTACATTTTTGTGTCTTGAAACAATAAAGGCATAGTTTGAATTCTTGCTAGGTATTTCAGCACATAGTTTTAGAAGAGGCTGTCTTATAAAACCCTTATAAAGTTAGGGTTCCTATTGCTGTGACAACACCAGGACCAAAACGCAAACTGGAGAGGAAAGGGTTACCCAGCTTACACACCCACATTGCTGCTCAGCACTGAAGGAGGCAGGAGCTGATGCAGGGACCCTGGAGGGGAAGCTGCTGCTACTGGCTTGCTTCCCATGGCTTACTCAGCCTGCTTTCTTATAGAACCCAGGGCTTCCAGCTCAGAGATGGCATCAACCACCATGGATACCTCCCTCCCACTAAATGAGAAAATAAATGCCTTCCAGCTGGATCTCAGGGAGGCACTTGCTCAACTGAGGCTCCTTCCTCTTCTATGACTCTACCTTGTGTCAAGTTGCCACACAAAACCAGCCAGTACACGGGCCAACTTCAAGAGTTGCACACACAGAAAGGGAGGGTGTCTGGGCCCCTAGAGGAAGTGACAGGATCTGAAGTTCAAGGCCAACTCGCTGACAGCCAGTTAGAAGTCAGCCAGCCAGGGCTACCTGAGACCTTATCTCAAAACACACTGAAGGGAGAGGAGAGGACTCAGGGGCTAAGAGCAGCTGATCCCGGGTGGGAGGACCCAGGTCTTTGACTTGGTCTCCATCTTCCCATCCCTTTTGCTGCCCCTTCCTTGTGGCTGAGCTGGAGGACGGAGGGAAGCTGGTGCAAACCTCTCTACCAACAGGCTTGCCACTGAGAGGGCTCAGGTTGGGAGCCTGTGCTTGCCCCATTCGGGGTTGCTTCCTCCTAAGCTTCTTAGTCACACAGGGCCAAACCCACGGATTCTTAAGCAAAGAGTGAAGTTCCTCTAGCTTTCCTTCCTCCTTCTCTGTGACAAGATGTCCTAGCGGGTCCTCTCTACTATACCCCTAAGTAACTTTCTGCTAAAAAGGTTCAAAGTTTAGTATGTACTTTGGGTCTATTAAAGAGAACAGAATTCAAAATAAATGGACAGATCCTCCAATTTTGGGTAGCGGGAGTCAGAAAGCGGGGTAGGTGGGGCTTGGGTGTTCCCAGGTCTCCAGAAGGATGGTCCCGGAGGTCCCTGGCTACGCCTGGAGGTCGGTTCAGTGGAGTGTGGCCGAGGCCTCCGCTGCAGGGTGCTAGGCTGGAAATGGGGGTGCTGAGCTGGAGCGGGGGACCGTGGTTCCCGGGAACACCCGGGAAAGTCCCGCGGGCAGGGCGGAGGCGGGGCGCGGGCGGGGCTGGGCGGCTCTGCGGCCCA